CCCCGCCCCCTCCGCAGCCGCCAAGCCCAAGGCGGCCGCCAAGCCTAAGGAGGCGGCCACCGACAAGAAGGCCCCCAAGCCGCGCGCCCCCGCCCGCAAGAAGGGGGAGGAGAAGGCCGAGGAGGCGCCTGCGGAGAAGGTGCGTGCTGCGCGCCTCTCAGCCGCCCGCGCCGCGCCCTCTGCCGGCCCCTTACGCTGCCCGGCGCCTGCAGCTCGGCTTCTTTCAGCCGTTCGCGCCCTGGACGCTCAGACCTGCACGCCGTCGGCCCCTCTTTGCCACCCTCTCGGCCTGTGCACACGCGCAAGCGCGCGTGCTGCCAGCCAGCCTTACTAGTCGAGCGCCCGTCCCCACCAAACACGTCGAAACCGCCCTCGCGCCCGGCTTGCCCACACGCGCAGGCGGCCGCCAAGAAGGCGCCCGCCGCTAAGAAGGCGGCCGCACCCAAGAAGGCCGCCACGCCCAAAAAGGCGGCCACGCCTAAGAAGGCAGCGGCGCCCAAGGTAGGGGAGGGAGCGCCAGTCGTGTTGCTTTGGTAGAGTGGGGGCTGGGGCCCCATACCGCCCGCCCGCGCCCCGTCGTTTGAACGGCGGCCGCCACGGCCGGGCTCCGGCCCGATGCGTCGGGCAGGCGGCGTGGCTGTGCGTGCAGCTCCCGCGCGGCGCGGTGCGGAGGGACACGGCTGCTGCGTTCAAACACGCTCTGACACGCGTCACATGCGTTTTCCGACTGTCGCCGTCGCCTGGGCTGGCTAAGCAAGCGAGTGTGAGTGTGCCTGCTTGCACACACACGTGCAGCTGAACGCTTATCACTGCATACAGCATACACACTCATCATCACACACAAATGCACACTCGTCGCACGCGTATGCACGCGCGCTCGCACACGCACACACACACACACACAAACACACACACAACACACACACACACACACACACACACCGCCAGGCAGCCAAGGCGCCTGCCAAGAAGGCTGCCGCAGCCGACAAGCCCGCGGCCAAGAGGCCGGCAAAGAGGGCCGCGGCCGCCGAGCCGGAGCCCGAGGCCGAGGCCCCGGCGGCCAAGAAGCCAACGGCAGCCGCCAAGAAGCCAACGGCAGCCGCCAAGAAGGCGGCGGCGGCGGCAGCCACGAAGCCAGCAGCCGCGGCGGCCAAGAAGCCCGCGGCAGCAGCGGCCAAGAAGGCACCTGCCGCGAAGAAGGCGGCCGCGGCCAAGCCAAAGGCGGCGGCGAAGCCCAAGGCTGCGGGCGGCCGCAAGCGCCAGCGCGCGGGCGCCAAGGAGGCTCCAGAGGAGAAGGAAGAGGAGCAGGAGCAGGAGGAGGAGCAGGAGCAGCAGGAGGAGCAACAGGAAGAGGAGCAGAAGCAGGAGGAGCAGCAGGAGGCGGCTAAGGCGGAGGGCGAGGCGGAAGGCGAGGAGGCGGCGGGCGAGGAGGCGGAGGAGGAGGCGGCGCCGGCTGCCAAGCGCGCCCGCGCCCGCGCGCCGGCCAAGGCGAAGGCGCCGGCGAAGGCCAAGGCGCCGGCCAGGGGGCGGGGCAGGGGAAAGGCGGCAAAGGCAGAGGCGGAGCCCGCGGCTGATGAGGAGGAGGGCGCAGGGGCCGAGGGGGAGGCGGAGCCGGCCGGCGAGGAGGCGGCGCCGGCTGAGGCCGCCGCGGCGGCCGAAGCTGCGGCGGCGCCGGCGGAGGAGGAGGCTGCTGCCGAGGCGGCGGCCGAGGAGAAAGTGGAGGAGGACCGGAAGGAGGAGGAGGAGGGGAAAGAGGAGGAGAGCGAGGCGGCCGCGGCGCCGGCCAAGGGCCGCCGCGGCCGCGCGGCGCCCGCCGCGAAGAAGCCCGCAGCGGCGAAGAAGGCTGCAGCTCCCAAAAAGGCCCCCGCGCGGCGCGGCGCGAAGAAGGCCGCCGCGGCGGAGGAGGGAGAGGAGGAGGCGGCGGCGGCGGCTGCCGATGAGAAGGGGGGGAAGGCGGAGGCGGGCGGCGCCGAGGAGGGGGCGAAGGCAGGGGGCGAGGCGGAGGCTATGGAAGTTGATGAGGCAGGGCCCAAAGAGGACGGCGCGGCGGACGAGGGGGCGGCGGATGGGGATGAGGAGGGGGAGGGCGAGGAGGAGGGGGCGGTCGAGGGGGAGATGTCTGCCGAGGAGGCGCGGGCGGCGCAGCTGGTGTCGGCGGGG